CTACCCTTCTCTCACCGTCCTTCAGGTCTCTCACCTCTTCTCTCGCCCCTCCTTCAGGTCTCTCACTCCTTCTCTGCCCTCCTTCAGGTCTCTCACTCCTTCTCTCACCGTCCTTCATGTCTCTCACTCCTTCTCTCACCCTCCTTCAGGTCTCTACCCTTCTCTCACCGTCCTTCAGGTCTCTCACTCCTTCTCTCACCGTCCTCAGGTCTCTCCCTCCTCTCACCCTCCTTCAGGTCTCTCACTCCTTCTCTCACCCTCCTTCAGGTCTCTCACCTCTCACCTCCTTCAGGTCTCTATATGTCTTCATCCCGCATCCAAGACTGACTGGCTGGGGGTGGGGTGGATATTCACTTAATTCTTCCGTGAGTCAGTACGTCCATCACAACCCGAGTTAGGAAGGGGGGAGGTGGCTGATTGGTTAAGTAGGTCGGGTTAGATGAGAGAGGATTAGGTTGCGTGAGATTGGTTGAGATAGTGTGTTTGGTGTGTGTGTGTGTGTAATGAACAAGCCTCGGTCATGTCGGTCACACCTCGAGGGCTGTTACATCACCTTACCTTGACCTCCAGTAGGGTGAGATTGTGGTGGTTAATCTGTATGAAATAAACTGGGGTAGAGAGGGGAAAGATGGGGTAGAGAGGGGGGAGAGGAGGGAAAGATGGGGGCAGCAAACAACACATTCCTGGAATATCCACACCATCGACAGTTCCCACAGTGGTGAAGTCAGTGAGACGTACAGCCACACCTTCCTGTGAGACCACCACCTTTCCCGTTAGTACACACACACGCACATACACACCCACACACACACCCACACCCACACACACACACACCCACACACACCCACACACCCACACACACCACACACACCCACACACACCCACACACACACACACACACACACACACACACACCCATATACACACACACACCCACACACACACACACACACACCACACACACCACACACACACACCACACACACACACACACACACACACACACACACACACACAATAAATGGTACACCTTCATTATTTTCATCGTTTGCAATTTTAATGAAGAAATGAAGAGTAGAGGCGGGTGATGAATAGAGGGGGGGTAGGGGGAGGAGATTGTGCGGAAGAGGGAAGGCGGTTAGGATAGAGGAAGGAGGAGAGGAGGGCAAGAGAAGGTCACACCACCCTTAAATCCCTGGGGTGCAGTCTCCATACCACTCTTAAATAAATCCTAACCTAACCCAACCCAACTTTGCCTATCTACCCTCATGTTACCCCCTTTACCCCCTTCTCTCACTTCACCCCCCCACCTCACCTGCCGCAGCCACCTGTACTGATAACCGTGAGTTCAACAAGATTTCACAACAGGCGTTATCAAGAGGTCATGATGAAAGTATTGAGGCGGGGCCATGACGGGGCGGGGCGGGCGGGCTAAGGGACGGTGGGGGGGCGTGGTGTGGCACATGTATTGCCTGTGAAGAAACTTGGAAGTTAAGTCAATGTATGTAGAGTGACTGTCTGTCTCTGTCCGTGTATCTGCTGTAAGGTTAGGTGTGTGTGTGTACCATGTGTGGGTGCCTTTGTGTGACTGTGTAGGTGTGTGTGGGTGCCATTGTGTATGTACAGGTGTATGCCTTTGTGTGACGTGTAGGTTTGTGGTCCATGGTGGTAGCATTGTGTATGTACAGGTGTATGCCTTTGTGTGACTGTAGGTGTGTGTAGAGATGGCGCAACTGGACAATCGACCACATACTTTTCCTGGTTACATATCCTCTTCCCCGGCCTCGTGTGTGTGTGACATTATCCTTTAACTTCATCAGGAAAGTCTGTAACTTCTCCTCAGTATAGGTCAGTATTACCTACACTGTAATGTTTACATCAACAACACTGAGGTAACATTCCTCAGAGCTTCCTCCTCTGCTGAATCGATTTTTTCGTCTTTACACAGACAGACGCTCACAACTTTCTGCTAACAAGTGAGACGAAAAGTTCTGGACCTTATGGTTAACTTTGGAGTGTGTGGGTGAGGGATGGGGTGGGTGGGGTGGGCGTGGAGTGAGGTTGGGCGTGGCTAGACTAGACTGAGTTGGGCTCCAGTATGTTAGGCTAGGCTGAAGACGCACCACAGGACTCCCAAGACCCGCCTTACTCTACACACCACAGGACTCCCAAGACCCGCCTTACTCCCAAACACTGCTATAATACTCTTAAGACTCTCTTAATATCCTCTACACAAACAGTAAATATGACGCAAAAATAATAATAATGACAATAATAATAATTATATAATAATAATAATAATAATAATGGCGATAAAATAAAAACAATTGCAATAAAATAATAATAAAAAAACTAAAATGATGTTGGGACGAGGGAGAAGGGTGGTGGGGTGGAGGAGGGTGTGGGGAAGGAGGTGGGAGAGAGGGGGTGGGGTGGAGGAGGGGTGGGGTGGAGGAGGTGGGTGGGTAGGAGGGTGGGTGAGAGGGGTGGGTGGAGGAGGGGGTGGGGTGAGGAGGGTGGGGTGGGGTGGAGGAGGGTGGGGGAGGGGGTGGAGGAGGGTGCTGGGTGGAGAGGTGTGCTGTGGGTGGAGGAGGGTGTGGGGTGGGGTAGGAGGGTGTGGGGGAGGGAGGTGGGTGGGAGGAGGGTGGGGGTGGAGGAGGGTGTGCTGTGGGTGGAGGAGGGTGCTGTGCGGAGGAGGGTGTGTGGGTGGAGGAGGGTGTGCTGTGGGTGGAGGAGAGTGTGGTGTGGGTGGAGGAGGTGTGTGGGTAATAAAATATACATATACAATCTATGTAATTTGTGGTAGAGCATATATATAAGCTTTGTATTCATTAAAGGGTTGTGTAGGGGAGGGTGGGTAGAGAAGGGTGGGGTGAGAGGATGGAGAGGGGGAGAGGGATGGAGGAGGTGAGAGGGATGGAGGTGGGTGAGAGGGATGAGGGTGGGGTAGGAGGAGGAGGAGTAGAGGGTGGAGGAGGGGGAGAGGGATGGAGGGTGGGTGAGAGGGATGGAGGGGTGGAGGAGATGGAGGGGTGAGAGGATGGAGGGAGGAGAGGATGAGGTGGGGTGAGAGGATGGAGGGGGTGGGTGAGAGGATGTGGAGGTGGGAGAGAGGGATGGAGGGTGGGGTGAGAGGGATGGGAGGGGGGGGAGAGGGATGGAGGGTGGGTGAGAGGATGAGGGGGGAGGATGGAGGAGGGGTGGAGAGGGATGGAGGGGTGGGTGGAGAGGGATGGAGAGGGGTGAGGGATGGAGGGTGGGGAGAGGGATGGAGGGGGTGGGTGAGAGGGATGGAGGGGGTGAGGGGATGGAGGGAGGGGGGTGGGTGGGAGAGGGATGGAGGTGTGGGTGAGAGGGATGGAGGAGGGGGTGGAGAGGATGGGAGGGTGGGGAGAGGGATGGAGGGGTGGGTGAGAGGGGATGGAGGGGTGGGGTGAGAGATGAGGAGGGGGTGAGAGATGAGGGGTGGGTGGAGAGGGATGGGAGGTGTGGGGAGGATGGAGAGGGGGTGAGAGGATGGAGGGGTGGGTGAGGGATGGGAGGGGGAGAGGATGGAGGGGTGGGTGAGAGGATGGAGGTGGGTGAGAGGATGGAGGGGTGGGGTGAGAGGGATGGAGGAGGGGGTGAGAGGGATGGAGGGGTGGGAGAGGGATGGAGGGTGGGTGAGGGATGGAGGAGGGGTGAGAGGGGATGGAGGGGTGGGGTGAGAGGGATGAGGGGGGTGAGAGGGATGGAGGGGTGGGTGAGAGGGATGGAGGGGTGAGAGGGATGGAGGGGTGGGTGAGGGATGGAGGGGGGGGTGAGAGGGATGGAGGTGGGTGAGAGGATGGAGGGGTGGGTGAGGTGATGGAGGGGTGGGTGAGAGGGATGGAGGTGTGGGGTGAGGGATGGAGGAGGGGTGAGAGATGGAGGGGTGGGTGAGGGATGGAGGAGGGGGTGAGAGGGATGGAGGGTGGGGTGGAGAGGGATGGAGGGGTGGGTGAGAGGATGGGGGTGGGTGAGGATGGAGGTGTGGGGTGAGGGATGGAGGAGGGGGTGAGAGGGATGGAGGGGTGGGTGAGAGGGATGGAGGGGTGGTGAGAGGATGGAGGGGTGGGTGAGGATGGAGGAGGTGAGGATGGAGGAGGGGGTGAGGGATGGATGGGTGGTGAGGGATGGAGGAGGGGTGAGAGGGATGGAGGAGGGAGTGAGGGAAGGGGAGAGTGATGGAGGAGGTGGTGGGTGCTGAGGGAGCGAGGAAGAGAGGCGGTAAGGGACTTTAACATTTAAAGACTCATAAAAGTGTGAGGATCTACATACCTCACACCCCCACACCCCCCACCTCCCTTCCTCCCTCCCCTGTCTCCATTCTTTCCCTACCCACGTTCTCTCCCTCTCACCCCTCCCTCTCACCCCTCTCTCCTCTAATCCCTCCCCATGGCCTGCAATATGCCGTATAGATCCATAATGAAGTTTGGTACTGATTAAACACCGTGTGTTCATCACCACCACTACTACAGTAATAATACATAGACTCGACTGTATCCTGCCTCACATACACCATACTGTATCTCAATGTATTTTCAACCCACTGTAGGTATTGTCTCGACTACAGGTACAGAAGAAAATAATTATGTGTATCTTTTTCCATGTAACTTGATTTTTTTTTTTTTTTTAGAATAATTTTGTATCATTATTTTTATTTTATTTATTTTATTTATTTATTTATTTTTGGTGCTGTTGATAACCTAACTTAACCGAACCTAGCTTATTTTCACAGAATGATTAAATACCGTAATGCTAACCTAACCTAACTCCCTTGGTAGCATTAGGGTGGTTAATCTTCAGGTGAAATAAGCAAGAGGTGTCTAATCATCTGGTGTGCAATAAACACCAGTGTCTATAATGTACAGGTGACCCAACATTTGTACGTACAGGTGTTTTAATTAGCGTACCTTGAAAACAGTTTACAGTACAGCACCGTTGCCCCACTAACACAGCTTTTTTATTTATCCTTACAGGGGCGGGCAGGATGGGCAAACTATTAAGTAAGATTTTTGGCAACAAAGAGATTCATATCTTGATGTTGGGGTTAGATGCAGCCGGCAAGACCACCATCCTCTACAAGCTCAAGCTGGGCCACCTTAGTCACCACCATACCGACCGTGGGGTTCAATGTTGAGACGGTCGCCTATAAGAATGTCAAGTTCAATGTTTGGGTAAGTGTGCGGCGCGTGCGTGCGTGCGTGCGTGTTATCATTTCTGGTGACCTGTGATGTAGTGATCAGCATGCACGTCTCCCAAGTAAGTGGTCCTTGGTTCGATCCTCGGGCAGGGTGAAACTATGGGTAAGTTTCTTTATGCCATTTGCCTCTGTCTACCAAGCAGCAATTGGGGACCTGGATATTATTCAATTTGCAGATTGTGTTCCAGGGTAATGGTTAACCAGTGCAGTTACAGTTGTCTGGTCTATTTCTTGACACTGGTTCACACAGTTTTGGTTGTAGTCTTTTCAGAAGGAAGTTGTGTTGGCTACAGTTTCACTTAAGAACCTTTTTCACTTAAGACAGATGATCATTAACTTCATTTGGCATCATCCTCCCTTTGCAGTGTAAGAATTTTTTGCTATGGGCCATAATACCATTACAAATACTGTACTGTACTCATTTTTCCCACATGTGAGTACAGTACACTACGTAAATTACAGGTACAGTACAGTATTTTGCCTCTATTAGCATCTGTAAGAATTAATAAGTTGTCTTTGTACAGGACGTTGGTGGTCAGGACAAGATCCGGCCACTATGGAGACACTACTACACCGGCACACAAGGCCTCATCTTCACGACTGTGCTGACCGGGACCGAGTCGACGAGGCCAGACAGGAACTTCACCGCATCATCAACGACCTAGAGATGAGGGACGCCATCATATTGGTCTTTGCCAACAAGCAGGACCTACCTGATGGGAGAGAGAGAGAGAGAGAGAGAGAGAGAGAGAGAGAGAGAGAGAGGCTGTGTGCTGTGTGTGAGAGAGAGAGAGAGGCTTGTGTGAGTGAAAGAGAGAGGCTGTGTGTGTTGTGTGAGAGAGAAAGAGGCTGTGTTTCTGTGTGTATGTGGGAAAGAGAGAGAGATATTTTGAGTTTCATTTGTAATGTGTTGTTGGTGAGCCAGTCATCCTTTACATGCGTCAAGCTGTGGGTGAACATCGTACAGTAATATTCAACTTGTTTATGACCCGAGTGGCTCAGGTTGAAACTTTTCACAAATGTAATGTAGATGTTTCTCTTTAAATAGTTTCTCTGGCATCTCTTGACAGCTAGGTATTTAAGATGGTCAGATACATACAGTAGTGTCCTTATGGAAGTGTGCCAGACATCATTACATTTTACCTTTACCTTATAGTCACTCATGAAACCCCTGTCACCTTTCCTGCGGCTTTATGAACCCAGAGATTAGATTAGAACTCACAGAGACTGATGCATTTTTTATGTCCATATAATGCTTCAGATTCATGGGTTCATGGGTCAGCAGAATAGGCAGCAGGACTCCTGTGCATGATGAATTGTACGTGTTTATAAGATAGTCCGTCCATCTGGCCATCTTTGTGTGTGTGTGTTTACGTCCGGCCAGATCTTTGTGTGTATGATAATGTACAGAAGAGAGAAAATTTGTCTTGGGGAGAACAGTAAGACTCGGGGTAAGGGACCTAACCTAAGGTCTTGGTTTTGTTACTTGTTGTACTGTACAGTATTTGTTATTATTGTTATTATTAGTTACATTATTGTTATTATTATTATTGTTGATATTATTATCACAGTGAGTCCTCACTTAATGTTGGGGTTACGTTCCTGAAAACGCGCCGTTATACGAAACAACATTAAGCGGATCAATTTTCCCCCCAAAAAATAGACAAAATACTGTAATGGAGTTACGTTCCTGAGCCTCCCTTTGCCCCATGAGATACATTACATATACAGAAATTCAACGGAATTTTTAAAGAAAATAGTATACTGTATATACAGTATATACAGTATATGTAAGAATAACCAAAACTTTGTATTGTACTCACTGATGGACAGAGGTGGTGGAGTGAGTGTGTGTGGTGGGTAGTGGAGGGAGGAGGAGTCACTGAGACCTGCGGGTGGCTCCTTCTCCCGGTTTAAAACCTCCATTTTTGTAGCAAGGCTAATGGTCTTCTGTTGCTTCTTCACAACACTATAGTGCATTTTGTCCCAGCTGAGAAAAGATGCCCATCCTTTCTTCAAGAGTTACAGCTGATTGGCTGTTGCAAACCTGTTCGATTTTGTCCAGAAGAAAGATATTTAGCTAAATTATATGAAGATACATACATTCATTATTTCAAACCTAAGCACATAGAAAGTTTATCAGAAGTATTATACATGAATTAACTGTTAAACTTGGGTAGCAAATTTACGTTTTCAGAGAACGCATTTACTATATAGAGTATTGAACTTATTTTTACCCACAATAAAGCATACTAAGACAAATTATGTACTGTATCCGTAATACTGTGCTACATTATGCAAAAACAACATTTTAAAAGATCAGAATCACAGAGAAATATTACACAGCCGTCAGCAGAGGCGGGAAATATGAAGTTCTCGCAGTCATATTTCCCGTCTCTGCTAATGGGCCGTAAAAAGTAGCCAGTGACGACGTAAAATCGACGTTAAATTGAGTCGTCGGGACGTTAAACTAATTATTTGTATCTAAAGAGTAATGAAGTACAGTAGTACTGTACTGAAACAACGCTAAGCGGGGCGACATTATGCGAGGACTTGCTGTATATCATTGTTATTGTTGTTATTATTGTTGTTGTTGTTGTTGTTATTATTATTATTATTATTATTATTATTATTATTATTATTATTATTATTATTATTATTATTATTATTATTATTATTATTATTATTGCTATTTTTGTTGTTGGTGTTACATGTATTCCTATTTTTGTTAATATTATTATTAGTTAGTACAGTACTTATTATTATTTGTATTGGTATTTTTTAATATTACTACTGTTATTATCATTGATGTCTCTTTCTCAAATTTCAGCAATGAAGCCTCATGAAATTCAAGAGAAATTAGGTTTAACAAGAATTCGTGACCGTAACTGGTACGTCCAGCCGTGCTGCGCCACAACGGGTGACGGACTTTACGAGGGCCTCACATGGCTCACCAGCAACCACAAATCATGATGATCGGGCGGGGCTTCCTGCTCTTAGCTTCCAAAGTTAGCACGGTGGTCAGAGATGGTGCCCGGGCTTGTGACAGATGACAAATGGAACTAGAAAAAATATTACTGTTGTTGGATTTTAAACGGAGAGTGCGCCGTAGCCACGTTCAGCGGAGAGTGCGTTATAACCACTTTCAGCGGAGAGTGCGTTATAGCCACATTCAGCAGAGAGTGCGTTATAGCCACATTCCAGATACTACTGGAATGGTTACATACGGTATACAAGGCCCACAAAAACTGTCGCAAGTGACCCAGTGCAAAAGACTCGGTGATCCTCGGATACAGCATGTGTGTGTGCGTGTGTGTGTGTGTGTGTGCGTGTGTGTGTGCGTGCGTGCATGCGTGTGTGTGTGAGGCCTTAAACTCAAAATAGCTAAGACATCACACAGACAAACTTGTGTGCTTTTTACGACCATAATGAACAAATTGTGCGTATAGGAAAACCGAACTCTTCGATTACAGGACACGGATTGTCAAGTTTTCGGGAACCCTGATGGGCGACGTCTCCGGCTGCCAAGTGTGAATTAAAACAAAAGAAGAGAAAAAAGAGTTAGCTTGTAATCTACAGAATATCTTATGAGTGTTAAGGTTTATCTATCCTTTATCTCTTTATTTAAGTATTAATTTGTCAACAAAAGACTGCCAAATGGTTAGATGATCTCTCTTAGCCCACAGTAAGTAGGAAGATTCTCTATATTTTTTATTGTTTCATGTAGTTACTGTACACTCCTGCTAAGTGTTTATGGAGACGATGACTTTTGTTTACAAGTTCTCAATTAAAACCAAACAAAATGAACTTTTTCAATTTACGCTGTACCATAAAAGCCTCATTAATGCAAGTGATCGTATCAACCAGAATCATGATTGTCCAGGATATGTGAATGAGAGAGTTTTTGATATGACCAGTTTTAAATGAGTGAACTACTACTACCACTACCTAATGTATATGTGTACAGCTGAGACACACACACACACACACACACACACACACACACACAGCACACACACACACACACACACACACACACACACACACACACACACACACACACACAAGTATCAAAGGTTCTGTTCTGTGGAGTCATTTAAGGTTGTGGTTTTAAGTTTTTTTTTAATCCCTGTATAACAAAGGTACTGAGGCATGCTAGCTACAATGGTGCATACACTAATCTCGATGTTTGTAGTATTTTTTCACCCAGGGCCTCATTAAGAACCAGCTTAGATAATCTTTCAGCTATTTTTACACCTCTTCTTCCTGTGCACAAAGACTTAGCTCGAGCACTGCATTCTTAATTTTAATGTACATAGGATCTGTTGTGCTCTCCGGACACGGGAGAGCCGCTCAAGATGCCGTACTGACACGTGTCTTGGGGGTTCAGAGCCAAGGGTCCGCGCTGGACTTCACATCGGGGGTTCAATCATTTTCACATTGTATAGGTTCATGCATATTTAATGTGTGCGTCAAGATGTGAATATACTTGTGTGGGGGATAGTTCATTTTTTACACTGAATGTAGCTTGACTCTGTATATACTATATATATATATATATAACATTAAAACACATGTAGTTGGTGCATGAGTCGCTTCTGTGTAAATGTAGGCTTCCAGATGCTACTGAAAATTGTGGACTTGTTTCTTTCTCTAATTTTTTGGCTTTTTGTGCATAATGGTACTTGCTTTCAGTTAGGTGATCATCTTGTGTGTGTGTGTGTGTGTGATAGGAGGGTTTAGCGGCGGTAGAGCAGCGTCTGTTACCAGCATACTGTTGGACGATAATCTTATTTTGCACTTCATTTAAAAAGCCGCTGAGGTTTGATGTAAGTTGTACATTCTGACTGGTTAAAAAGAAGTGTCATGAGGTGAGATGCAATCAGAGTCAAGTGACACAGTCCTCAGGTGTCATAAGGTAAAATATAATCAGAATCCATTGACACGATCATCTGGTGTCGCGAGGCGAGATGTAATCCGAGTTAAGTGAGACACAGTCCTCATACATCCATGTAGTTAGGCTTTAAAGTGAGTGATGGTGTGTGAATGGGAGTGTATGTGACTTTAAGCATAGGATCAAATCAGGTCACAAAAGCAGTATGTACAGTACATAGCTGTTTGTGAGGGAGGAGCATATATTTGGTACACCATCTCTTTTACTGTTTATTTGGCGGAACAATATTATCAACTGTGTCGGTTTCTTTCTTTTTTCTTTTTAAACTTTTGTTGGGTTTAAAAGTTAAAGTCATGAACAAAAGACCAGTCGCCTCTTGTAAACCACGAACCCCGACATTTAGACTCGTGAATCCGAAGCAAATATTTATGGACAGACTAATGCATCGGTGTCTACTGCTTTGGGCTCACGAATCTGAATCTCGGGGTTCATGGAGCAGCAGGAGTGGTGAAGACCTTTTATGGGTGACTGTACAGCAAGACATACACGGGGACAGTTTATAGCCATAGCACAATGTTTCTTGTCGTGAATTACACCTCTGGCTACACCGTGCGACAAATGAACACATACTACATGATATATGGTGATAGACTATGTTGTAGTCAATTTTTTTTTATGTTAACTGTGTAAATGAAATGGTTATGTATTTACAGTGTGGCCAGAAGACCTGTACTGTGCAGTAGTTCCATGATGTACTACACCTTTGATGAAAGCCACACCCAGTCTTGACCATTAGTGACACACTGGCAACACTGTGTGCTCTCTGGGCTACTTGTATTTTTATATGATGAATATTTGCGTCGCCATACAGACCAAAGTTACGTCCTTATGATGCCCTTCAGTACCACAATGAGACATCTTTGTATCTTAATTTCTTTGTATGTTTTGGTTTGGTGTTAATAATAGTAATACAGTAATAACATTTTTGGCCTATCACGATATTTAAACCCCATTGCATTTTGAACTTATTATTGGGAAGTGATGCAAACCAACTCTCGCCACACACAACATTCCCACATCAACACTATGACTCGTGGCTGTGGGTCACGTGCAAGACTTACCGAGTGATCCAAGTTGAGGTGCGGTACTCGGAAAGTGGCGTTGTTGAAAATACACGCCAACGTTTTAGCGTTGCCTTCCGCTCCTCGCGACACAGTGCACTCGCTACCCACCTGCAAACATTAGCTGTCTTAGATACATACAGTAGTAGGAAAACAATGGGGTGGTTAGAAGTACATTACAATATATATTAAATATATATTGGAATATTTTGTATTGAGTTTACACCATTTCTTAAATTCTTTTCCAAATATGTGCCTAACTGCTAGCATCGTCGCCGTACTTGAATGAAGCCAACACAGGTCCAGTCGATATTACTACAAAATTATCTTGAATTCAAATCTTCTCCGAATTCGGCCAAATTTTATGATTCTCGCTGAACTCTTTAAAGCTTTTGGGGAGTTTACAGTAAAATATCAAACATGGTAAATTGTGTCAAGGGTTTTTAATGTTGTTTAATATTTCCATAAACTTGCATTAACTGATCCATTTGGAGAGATGCACAATTGTAAAAGGAGGATATTTTGTATCGGTTTCCTCCATTAGTGTTTGTTGAGTATTACAGTACATGTATTTTGATATTGTATATATATAAGGTACAGTACGTATTAGGCGTTTAGAAGAGCAAGGGCGTATGTCGGAATATCTCGACTCGGCTCAAAATATCCAGGCAGTTCTTCAGGTTTTCTGCCCCCCCTAATCTTAAGGGGATTGTACCATGCTGCAGACGTTACCCACGTTCCCCGACACTATTAACTGAGGAGAGGAACTCCAGGGGCTATATTGACTGACATAGAAAATGGAGAATTGGTAGAGCCGGTAATACGCCCTTGGTATTGTAGACGCCTCAGTATGTGGTCCTGGTGTGCTCACAGACCTTAACTCTGATGAAGGGAAGAAGAAGAAGGTGCATAATTAATCATTCTTTCAGTAACATGAGCCCTACAGCGGAACCTCTATATAACGAACTTAACATGTGAATGGTTAGTTTATTAGATAGAAGTCCGTTAAATATGAAACCCCCTTATGATGGACTATTGTGCGAGAGGTTAGTCCTTTAAGATCGAAAACAGTAATATGGAGGTTTCACTGTATTTAGTAAGGGAATTGTGTGTGTGTGTGTGTGTGTGTGAGAGAGAGAGAGAGGTTTTCATCTATATCGAGGACGTGTTTGTCGCCCCTCGTGAGTCCTCCTTGACACGTGATGTGATTGTGGTGGCGTGAGCATCGTTGGGCACCTGTGTCCTGTCAGTGTTGATTGTCGGATTAAGGAAAGTGAACGGTTAATGTGGGAGGACTTGAACAAATTGTATCTTAGTTAAGTTAAAAAGTTTATTGATGTAAATTATGATGAATTCCTCTTTGTCAGCTTTTACAGTGAATTATATACTGTACTGTATACCTGTGTTAATTTTGGGGGGGGGGGGATCATCATGTATTGACAGATGGTGAGATTTTTAGATTGGAAGCCATTGGTGTTTAAGGGGAATGTTGTCACACCCCAGTGGCCCAGAATCAATGCAGGGTTACCAGGCAGAGTAATAAAAGACATATTAATTATTGTGTACACTGAACTGGTCAAGCTGCCATCCAGAGACTCAGTCACCTCACTCTAGGCAAAAAAACTGCATAAATTTGTGACCAACTTTATATATTTTTTTGAGTTTGTTCATAGTTTGATTGATGAGATCCATTTTTATCCATCTGTGCAGTTTGATTTATTCTGTAGTTTTAAGACTGGGACTTTATGAAAACCTGTTCTGTATCCCAGGTGTTGAGGAGAGATGTCTGCTGAGTTGTGTATTTTACTGTACTCATATTAGCTATCAACATTATTGTCATACTGATCATGTTTTAAGCAGTGTAGTTGATGGAGGAGGTGTTGTCCTGTTTTGTTTTGTATGTGAAGCGATGCAGTGTCGTGGGTTACAGCGGTAGATCATAACTCCTGCAGTGATCCACATCTTATAGTACCTGTTTCAAAAGTGTGCATGGTACTGTATGTATTAAGCTGAAGGTGAATATACTACTACATTATTTCCTTGATTGTTGACAAGTGAGAGGTTCATGTCACAGGATGCCGTCTTATATAATATAATATATATATATATATATAAATATATATATATAATGTATACAGTCTGTAGAAAATAACAATCATGAAATTTTTTTGTGAATATCAAAGGTTTTTTATTTATTTTTTTGGTTTTGACTAAGTATGATGTATATTTTATTTACCACTTTATTATCGATGTTTCCCAGTGTAAATTAAAATGATGGAGTTGAAGAGAGACCAACAGAGTATAATAATAACAATAATAATATAACATTTCAAACTTGTGATGAGTTTGTTGTTTTTGTTTTACTGTTCACCGAGGATAATTATAATGTAATGTATATAATCTCCAAACACCTCGAGAGATTTCCCCAGGTCCTGTACTCGGTCTCTTAATCACACCGATGAAGAAAATAAAAATATATATATATATAAACAGTATATATACACCATCTTGTAGACTCCATTTCACCAAAGTCATAGCTCAACTTATGCACAGTTTTGGGAATAATAAAAAAAAATTAACTAGAATTTTTTTGGTGTGTACATAACAGTTGTATGTTTCTATTTCATTTTGTAAATATGAAAACAAGAATTTTTTTTTCGCCTCGTTGTGTGTATATTATTTTTGTTGTGTTCTTTGGATGGTCTTACGTATTGCAGGAAGTGTGAGTCGTGTACTGTATTATTTGGGGTGAGTGTTTTTTTTTTTTTTTCAGGACACAGTTGTACTTTACTTTACTTTTCAGAGTACTGTAGTGGTTTGAATGAGTGAGTGTGTGTTTCCTGTTGTCCTCATTGATGGCTGTTTGAGTGTATAGGAGAGTGTTTCCCGTTGGCTGCTCAAGTGTATGAGAGAGAGCGCGTGTTTTCTGATGTCCTTATTGATGGCTGCTCGAATGAATGTGCTGACCGACTCACTGACCGCGTTGTGGTTCTGAATATCATTAACAAAATCAAAGCAGCTGAGGTAGGGTATTACAAATCCCACCTGCTACTTCTGCTGTGTCCATATCAGGAAGCTTAATAAAGGTACCGAGGACAATGGTGGTGATGATGATGACTCCGGAAGATGTTTTAAAATCACCGAGCTGTTGCTGCATAATGTCCCCAGTCAGCCAAGATGGTGTTGATTCTACGCCTTACTGTGTTGTGATTCGTATTTTTCTCTCTTTTTCTCTCCTTCCTCCCTCTCCCCCTTTATCTCTTTCCTCTCTTTTTCTCATTCCTCCTCCTCCTCCCTCTTTCTTTCCTTCCTACCTATCCCTTTCTCTTTTCCGTCTCTCCTAATCTTATAACACAGTAAAACTAATCAACTGTCATAGTGAAATTGCTCTAACACAGATTACACCGGAGTGGTCGTATAGTGTGGAGTGACCAGTGAGATAGATCAGCAGTGACTCGCAGTGTATCAAGTCTCACGTAGAAATACTTATTCAACACCGATATTTTTGTTCCTTTAAATCTTTTTTCCTGGTATTTAATGTTGTGATATTGTATTAAATTTTGGTAGGCATCATACAATAGGTGTCCTTATATATAAATATGATTATAGCTAAAAAGAATATGATGGAGAAATGAATTGTATTTCATTGTTTCTTCAAATTTAAAAATGTTTTTGTATTGCACGTTTTCTTTATGCTTGCTTGTATGAATGTTCCAAGCTTAGTGTATGTGGGAGAGATGATAGGTGTATGTCAAAAGGGGTGAAAATGTTAACTTAAAAGTGTACATAGCCAGAATTTCAAAGACAGATACACACAGACGCATAGTACTTTGCTTACAGATTGTGTATTATCAGATGTTCTTGAAATAATAAGATAAAATAGAATAAAAAAATTGTCTATCAGGAAGTCATTTGCAACAAGGACCATCCTGGTTCATTTCCAAGTGTCACTAATGAATATATGAATTAAATTTTATGGTGAAAATCTTGTGTGTTTTGTAACCCCAGACTCGCGCTGCTGGCAACGGTTGGATCCTTATTTTGAGGGGAAAACTCTCGTCGATCAAAATGTTGTGTTTTTACGGGGATATTCGTCGATCAAAGAATTGTGTATTAGGAAGACATTCGTTGATCAAAGAATTGTGTATTAGGAAGACATTCGTTGATCAAAGAATTGTGTATTAGGAAGACATTCATTGATCAAAGAATTGTGTATTAGGAAGACATTCGTTGATCAAAGAATTGTGTATTAGGAAGACATTCATTGATCAAAGAATTGTGTATTAGGAAGACATTCGTTGATGAAAGAATTGTGTATTAGGAAGACATTCGTTGATCAAAGAATTGTATATTTAGGGTATTTAGAGAGACTATCATCGATCAAAGAAGTATTGTGATCAATAATATCCCACCTGACTAACTACAGTATAACCAATCTGAAGCAACATAAGGATTATTTTATATAAGGTATTCTTTGTTTGATATTGTGAGGTACTGTAAATTATGAACTATTTTACCCAGACGAGAAGTACAATTAAAAACTATTGACATTATGTTCTGTTTGTAATGTGAAGTGAAGGACTTAATGGTTTATTGTTGTTAGGAATGTTGTTGAGGTGTGTTAATATAGTCAGTCTTGTTTGTCTGTGTTTATGTTGATTGGAGAAGTTTTAAAGTTATTATTCTACATCAATTTATACAGTAGTAGTTGAAAGTGAGATGTACTGTACCTTTATGTTCCTGTTATTTAAGATGTATGGGAATGTAGTTATTATCAGTAAGGGGATGCATTGGAGGGGCTTACAATGGCTAGTAAACTTATCCATTAATCTTATCTGGACTATTTAAAATTACAGTACTGTGCTTTGATAGAATTCCCTTGATGTCTGGATGATACACAGTTACTATCATTATATTAAGTTTCTGTTGCATCTCTAATAGCAGTAAGCTTATAGCCAGATCAGCTTTGCTTAATACAGTGGTCCCCCGGTTAACGAGCACAATTCGTTCCAGAAGGTTGCTCGTTAACCGAAACCATTGTTTCAATGGGTTTTTGGATAATTGGTTCCAGCTCACCGAAAATTACATACAAACTAAAAATAAATGCCCTAAAGTACACTTTCTTTGAGGTGTGCATGTATAAGGATAAGGCTCCTGGTTGATGATGATGGGAATTAGAATGGGGGTAGAAAAGAAGTCACCCCATGGTGCCATTTCACCCATAAAATTTTAGTTCTCTTGGTGTAATTCAAGATTATTTTCTTTAAATCAACACTGCACTGCATTATATATTGTCAATATGTAAAATATATTTCAAAATGACCAATAATTTGACTGGAAACACAGAAAAAAGCATTTATGTTGAAGATTTACAAACAAGATATTCCTTCCTCTGAACTGGTAAACAAACTGACGCCAAGCTTGGTGTGTTGAATGGCTGCTTGGCACGCAAAAAACTAGCTTCCTGTACTTCAATTATGTTCAATAATTGTTAAAATGACTAAAAAAAAATTAATATAAAACTTTTAAAATTATTGAATACTACAACCTTCTTGATATTTACTAAAATGGTAAGGAATTTAAGCCCTAGAACCGATTACTGTATTGGCGGACTAATACTACAGCTGGCGGACAGCCAAATGCAGGCGAAAACAAGTTGGGAAAAATTTGTAAGGAATTCGTTAACCGAAGTGAAGAATCTTATGTAAGGTTATTCATTAACCGAGGGATCTCTGTACAGTAATAATTGAATGGGATAATCTTGCTTGTAATTTACTGACCAAATATTTAACTCTTTTTAATGTTGTACTAAGGAAGTCACTGAAAATAGGATATTTACTTAAAGAAATATTATCACATCTTTTTAATTGATTAGTATTATGCGTTATGTATAAAGATACATGGATTGTAGTCACAGGTAAGAGGGGCCATGTATCACACACATACCCACACAGGTAAGAGGAACCAGGTATCTTACACTCACAGGTAAGAGGAACCAGGTATCTCACACAGGTAAAAATTTCCAAGTAGCCTAGAATGACTCGGACGTACAAAGATTTCAGATTTGCCCCCGAGGGGGCTAGTTTATTGTGCACCCCCTTACATCCTGTGCAAGGTGAAGCGTTTACAGCGCCCAACAGGGAAGTATGAAAAGTTCATACTTGCTTTTATGACTCGTACATTAAGGGCGTAAAAGCCTGAAGGGTCATAGGTTTTGTCAAGTTACATAAAGTGAGAGAATGATGAGTGTGTGGGGCGGACGTACAAACAGTACAACAGCCACCACCAGATCTCGAAGTTTTAACACAAACACTAACTAATAAATTAACTTCTACACCAAAGTCTACTTGAGTCTCCTAAATTAGTTATATTATTAATTTGATCAAAATTCATAGAAATAGTAATACATTAGGAGGTTTGTAAAGACGTGCTTCTTTAGTTAACCAAGAATTGTCATTGAGAACGGAAAGAGAATAATTTTATAATGAGGTTATGATGGTGATTGACGGTGGTTATGGTGGTGATTGACGGTGGTTATGGTGGTGATTGACGGTGGTAATGGTGGTGATTGACGTTGGTTATGGTGGTGATTGACGGTGGTAATGGTGGTAGTAAAGACATGCTATAAGATGCTCCACTCTCACTTCCCCTACAACAGAAGCAAATGTTCAAATTCATCATCATTTTTTTCCGGTTCTCTACACATAATATAAGGTAAGTTTTATATGGAATGATACTTTATGTATGATGAACTGTAAAAATGTGAAGAGAAATGGGTGAAATTGGCACCAAGTTTACTGTTATATTAGGACGAAATTCAGTGTTACTTCAGCCCATGAGACTTGGTTAATTTATCTATTACATAAAATTTGTATATATTTTACGTGAGATATTTTGCCTTGCTGACGTTACTAACTCATGTGTTATATAAAATGATTTAGGAAGATTGGTTGTGTTAGGTGAGATTAATGTGATTTCTGGACGGTAGACATTGGTAAAAGTTATTAAAATTGGGCGACTAATATTATAGTATTTATTATTACTGGTGACATCTAAAGAATAAATTAGCCTTTGACTCCAAGCCCAATGAGATTTAATAAACTGGAGGCGGTATAACGTCATAATATGGCGAGAACTCTACTGATATTATCCTTGATTTTCCGCCATTTTAGTTGACTAAGTTTGACCATGCACTGTGCTGTTGCTCCCAAGTTTTCCTCCATTAAACCATCCTGCTGGGCTTACAGATGTATTCAGAGGGACAGAAGACATTTATTAACACTCTACTGGTAAGTGTCTTATTGTAATTAAGTTATATCAAGCAGAAGTTTATTAAATAAGAAAAATGGTTACTTTCGGGTTGCTGTTCCCTCTTATACTCGTGGGCGTCGTAGCCTCACTTCACAGTTGACATTTGATGACAATATTTAATTACCTAGACATAAAGATCTTGCAGTCCAACAAAGAAAAGTAACTCAAGAACTTTATATAAAATTAAATACCTGACCATAATTGCCGCCATCAAAACGCTGGGTTGTAAACTGCAAGGGAGAAGATTTTGACATTAATAAATACTTAGTGTACAGTCATGGTTGCGACGGTGGTGGTGGTGATGATGGTAGTAATGATGATGTTGATGGTGATAATAATAGTGATGATAATGACGGTGATAATGAAAATATTGGTGGTCTTGATACTAATTATGTTAGCAGGGTGATAATGATAGTAATAATGATCGTGATAATGGTACTGGTGGTGATGGTAGTATTAATAATGATGATATCACAGTTTCTAGACAATGACAGTAGGCTTGAGAGTGTGACTTGGGAAGGTGAGTGACGAGCGGCAGTCAACCCCTCATCATACCTGGTAGTGAGGATGAAATCACTCCTTGTTCATCAATTATCATACCTGGCTGTGCTCATCAATAATACCTGGCTGTGTTCATGAATCATACCTGGCTGTGCTCATCAATCATACCTGGCAGTGTTCATCAATTATCATATCTGGTAGTGAAGATGATAACACGTTACTTGCCGACACATCAACGGCATTCTGTAAGTTGATGGGATAAAACAGGTCTTTTTGGGGGCTGCCAGTCCTGGGGTTAATGGTTTGGGGAAGAGAGAGGAAAAGGTAGAGATATAGTTAAAAAGAAAGAGAAGAGGGTAGAGATAATTAGAGAGAGGAAGATAAAGTGAGATAGAGAGTGAGAGAGGGGAAGAGATAAAGAGAGTGAGTATGAAGGGGAGAGAAGTAAACAGAAAGAGGAAGAAGAAATGCGATAAAAGGGAGAAAGATAAAGAATGAGAAGATGAGATAGGATAAAAAGGGAGGAAGACAAAGAAAGGATGAGAAGAGAAGACGTAGACAAAGTAGAGAGAAAGACAGACATACAAACAGACGGTAGACGGAAATGAAAGTTGTAGATGGTGAATGACCCGACAGACAACAGCGGCACTTGCACACAGCACACAGATACAGGGTGGTAGTGGTGGTTAGTAGTGGTGGTGGTAGTAGTTCCGGCCATAACCAACATTATTAGCTGTCTTGAGAGTGTATATACCTGCAGTCTATGTACATTGTTTACATACCTGACTACCTGTACTGTTTATATACACGTTGAAACAGTGTAAACAAGAGTGACTCAGCTGTTTTGAATGGTACTCGGGTGTTTCTTGATAAATTAATTAGTATTACGATCATCACCTCCGCTTTACCACTACAGAACAAAGGTAACGATATGTGTATCTGGCCACATGTCTGTCTGTTACCATGATACAGAGGGAGATCATGCGGCCACATGATAGAATATAAACACACAGACATACACACAAAGACACACACACACACACACACACACAGGTACCCATTCTCAGCTGGGTGAAGCTCTGGGGTTTCTGGTCTGGACTCAAACCACCGACTCTTAGGACAGGAGTTGAGCGCTGTATCCACTTGGCAACTAGTAAACAAAGGGTTAATATAA